GAGACATTGAATCTAAGTGCTGCAAATGTCATGTTAAGATGAATATCCTATTGTTTGAGATTTCCCTGGCCTCTTTTAGCTAAGATATCATGTATGATTTCATGGTCAGAACGTTTATTCTTTACGTAACCGGCAGCATGATAGGTAGTTGTACTGACGTGATCAATTCAACTCTTTAAGTGTTTCTTTGAAAGCATGACTTGTAAATTCTGATCCATTGTCAGTGACAATCTCTAAATTGCTTCTAATAGTAAATGTATGATTGTATCAGTACTTTTGTCAGCAGTAGGAAAACACTCGTGATAACCACTGCAAAGATCAATAAAACGTATAATGTAGAGGTTTCCACTCATTGTTTGTTCATAAGGTCCGGAGCAGTCGATACTCATCACGCGGATATTCTTGTCTTTTATTTTGTAAGGTTACGTGACTGACAATCAACACATTTAGAAACATATTCATATAATTCTTTGAACATCTTTGGCCAAAAATATTTTTGTTTTATTGTTGTAAATAACCTTTGTGTTCCTGGGTGACCATTATTTAAATGATATTGAGTAATGACAAGGTGTTTTAAGTGTTGCGGAACAAACAATCTAAGATTAGGACTATCATCTACATTAGACAGATAATAAAGAACTTGGTCAATTTTTAAATATTTGCTATGCACTGATTTAGTTGGCTGTCCGTGACGTAGTAACATTTTCAGTTCAAGAATAGTTTGATATTTATCTTGCTCTGAGGACATATTTAATTTTTCTAATTGTTTAATATCTTCTACAATTGGCTCTTGAATTTGATATTTTTTGTTTGCTTTTTGTTTAGCATTAAGATGAGTAGAATCAAAAGCATTTACTTTATAGCTTTCATCAGTTTTCACAACATGTTCATTATCATAATTTGAATTATAATTTGAATTTGAGACTGTTATTTCAAAGGCATTGTCATTAATATCAGGCTCGTAAAGTTCAATATCAGACTTGTTAGCATTTTTATCATCGGCTAGAGGTCTAGAAAAGAAATCGGCATTTAAATTTAATTTTCCTGGTAAATATTCAATTTTGCAGTTATAGGCAGAAATATTTAAGGCCCAGAACTGAATTCTTTTGTTTTGCATAGGTGCTTCTAGAAGATGCTTTAAAGGTTTATGGTCTGTAAATATTGTAAACTCTGCATTGTGTAAATAAACGTCTAATTTTTGTAACGCATGATGAATACTGAATGCTTCTTTTTTTATGGCACTGTACTGTCTTTGAGATATACTTAATTTATGAGATAAGACTTTAATAGGTTTTTTAATACCAGATTTGTCACACTTCTGACATTCATTGAACGCCGCCTTTCCTTGTCGATCTTGTTCATCATATTTTAACCTCAGATCCCCTTATGAGGCTTCATAACCTCAGATCCCCTATCAAAATTCCATTTTATTTAGTTCCGCCCATTGTTTTCTCGTTTAGGGCACGTATTTTTTTACTTGGGGACCATATGCCGCTTTTCATGGAATAGCACTTAGTGTCACATTGAGGGTTCCATGATAACCGTATTATGAACACATCTGCGGATGTTTCAAAATTCAAAATTGTACCATTTTTTTTTAAATGTTGAATTCTGCTTAAGCCGGTGCTAGGGGATGTGGACGGAAATTTGCACTCTACAGTACCGTCCATGAACAGGCTCAATCAAACCGAGCCTGCAACATTTTCAATAATGTTGTGTTGGACTTTCTTTAGGGATTCTTGCTTTCTCTATTTTAAACAGGTTTCGACCACTAAATCTGAAGAGCCTGTGTAGAGAATATAAGGCTTATTTAGGTCTGGGAATGCTAAAAGTGGTATACGTGTTAACATTTTCTTTAATTGTTCAAAACTTCCTTGACACTCATTTGTCCATTTAAACAAAGCAAGTTTTCTAGTCAGATTAATTAGAAATTCAACAATTTTAGAATATTTAGGGCAAAACCTTCTATAAAAACCAGCAGCACCAAGTAAAGATCTGAAATCTTTTACACATTTTGGTACCGGAAGTGACCTAATAGCTTTTACTTTTTCTGCGTCTGATTTTATACCTTCATGATCAATAATAAAACCAAGGTACTTTGTTGCTGAATAAAACTGCACTTTTTCAGTTTTAGTTTTAATTTATACTCTTTTAGCTTTGAAAATACTGTCTGTATATGTGATAAATGTTCATTTAATGACTTCGAAAATATTACAATGTCATCCAGATAACTGACAGCAAATGCCTCCTAACCTTGTAAGACATGTGACATGAGTTCTTTGAAAACTCCAGGTGCAGAAACTAAACCAAAAGGGGTTCGATTGAATTCGAACAGTCCTCTGAATGTGGTAAAAATCTGGAAACAAAGTGATCCCTCGGAAGCATTAATCACAACAAAATTACAAGAGAATTGCAGACTCGGTTTGATTAAAGCCGTTTTTTCTTTGTCTGATTCATGTACAGGTATCTGCCAAAATCCTGATGTATCCTGTTGTAAAATATTTTGAAGACTTACTATCATCAATAAGGGGTAGGGGTAAGATGTTGGCTTTGTAATTTTATTCAATTGTCTAAAATCAACACAAAAACGTTTCGTACCATCACGTTTTCCGACCACAACCACAGAAAAGAATAAGGAATATGACTTCTTATAATATTTGCTTTTAACATCTAATCGATGCGTCACTAACAAATTTTCTACTGTTTAAATGTGTGCGGTATAGACGTAATTTGAATGGATCATTATTACCTTTTGGTATAATCATGGTTACAGTATCTGTCTGTGATAATACAGAATATGTTTTTGCGAAAATATTTCTATTTTTCTTTATTAAGTCTCTAACAATATTCAAATGCTCTGACGGTGTATGAATTAGAAATCGTTGTTAAGGGAGGAAGTTGTTTGAAGAACCTCTGTGAACGAGTTAATGCTCTAAAATTCTGAAACTTTAGCAACTACTAAATCTCGTTTTAATCTTATAGTTTTATGCGTATTATTGACAATCATAATAGGAAATCTTCTATCAGCCGAAAGTTTCATAACAGAATTTGTTATCATAAGACCTGGTTCAGAAGTAATCATTCCAGATTCTATACTTTTTAATTCATATCATTTATCATTTTTCAAGCCTGGATTTTCTTTAACTTAGCAGTACACACCTTAACAGTTTAAGGTTTAAGAATAACATCCTGCTTAAATCTGATTGATGCGATATGAATATATTTTTCAAGGGGTACATATGTATTATTAACTCTCAATCAAAATATAATCTAACGCCATTTTGTGTTAACCAATCACGACCTAAAATAATATTTCTATTCATTTCAGAAACAACATAGAAATTTTGAGTTGTTTCTGTTTTCCCTATTTGAAAAGTGAGATTTATATAACCATCTATATGTAAATAATTACCGTCTACTGAACATAAATTTATTTTCTGTTTTATAAGTTGAGAAGGATTCTTCAATTTTCTATATATTCTACGATGCAGAAGACAAACTTCAGCACCTGAATCAACTTATGATCTGTATTTACAGTTTTCAATTTTTATCAAACATGAATTAGGACTACCCGCTAATGCTATACTAAATTTTGGTATTTTATCGATCCTGTCAGAGACCCCTTTAAAATTTGTGACAGAAACTTGCTAGTTTCCTTGAAATTTTATTTTGTTTCTGTCGTAAAAATAATTTCGTTTACGGCATTCTCGCATATGTCCAAAATTATTTAATTTCCAGCACTTAATCTTTGATTTCAAATTATTGTTGCTATTATTTTTCCTAAATCGTGAACAATTTTGTCGGTGTAATACAGAATCTATTTCATTTGTCCTAAATCTACAATTACGCACATGATGACCTGGCCTCTTACAGTAAACGCATTTTTTTTGTATAAAAATGATTAAACGTATTTGCTTTGTAGTTATTTTATCTTGCGTGATTTTGAGTAAAAAAAATCTTTTCTACTCTGGCATAAAGCTCTGAAATTATGTTCATTCACTGCGCAATTAATTGCAGCTTGTAAAGTTTTTGGCTTTTCTCTCATAAGTTTATGTTTTAAATAATTATGCGCTAAATTATCCGTAAACAATTCAACTAAATGAAGTTCAATTAAATTGTTATCTCCTAGTTTATAATTTTCATAAGCGGTTTCAGCACAATTAATAAATTTTTCACCAAAAATTTGAACACTTTCTCCCAAATCTTGTTTTAATTTCTCAAAAGATAAAATTAATGTTGTAAATCTTTAATTTTCCAAAATCTAGTACTTATTTCTTCTTTTAATTTTCCAAAGAATTACGATGATTATCACGCACATATCTACACATAAAATCGCTTACAGTCCCTTTACTTGCTTGAAACGCGACTTTTTTTATTATTATCTAATTTAAACCTTTTAAAACAGCATATTTTTCTATAGATTTTATCCAGTCATTAAAATATTTAGAATTTCAATCAAAATTTTGTACTATTTCTGATAAACACTGTGTACCCATGGCAGTTGAAATATTATCCAATTTATCCGATAATTTTTTATAAATTGTAACTTTTTCTTGATCTTACATCTTCAAAATAAGCAATTTAGAGGTATATAAACAATCACTCACCTTTTTATTTTCTGTTTCAGGTACTTCGTTGTGTCCCGCTGTCCAACATCGTCGCTTCGACATCCTGGTCACGGTATAGTTGTATAGTATAGTTATTGTATAGTTAGCAAGAGAACGCACAGATGTTACTCAGTGTTCTGATCAACTCCCAAATTCGAACTCTCTAGACTGAGCTTTTTGACCACTATTTATAATGACAGCTATTCACATAACATGTTACGAAATACATACTCTCCCAAATACATTATTAATCAATCTGACATTTGACGACATTTTACCAGTACAATTTAAAAGGCAGTTTCGTATATTGTTATATAAAATGTCATGTTAAGAGTTCACATTATGAAATAAATACATGCACTTATACTCAAACCTTTATTGGCATTCATTTAGATTATATAAAATGTATGAGTAAGTAAACTTAAAATGCAGAATGCAACAATTAGTAGAAATTGATTTTCGATCTTCGACTGCCTAAATTTGTCCCAGTCCAAGAGTCAACATCCTTACTTTACATTTCAAAATGTTTAAATAACAAGTGTTCATTTTGGCGCGTTTAATTCCGATCACAATAATTCGAAGCCTAACGAAAAGAGCCGATCAATTTTCATTGATAAAAAAACATTCATCCGCGTAATTTGTGATTGTACATTTATTGACAATTTCAAAAGCCAAAGCTACTTTTAAACTTTGAATGCGTTATAATTCGTTGGATATTTGTAACAAAATAAAACTATTTATTTCCTTTGCATCGCTAGTTTTGAAAACTACTTCTAGGATAGTTGGGAAGATATTGAATGTCAGCATTGTGTTGTCAGATCTGCGATCAGAACATACAAAAATCAATATATTTTTGTCTAGGAATATTTTATACGGTTAATGCAGAGTTTTCATGCGAGGCAAATTACAGAAGTATTCACTGTTACCACACTTTAGGAATCGACCACAAGGTTACAAAAACTTTTTTATGTCACCGTTAATGAATTATATAATAAAAAAACATTCATTATATATAGCTTTATAAACTTTTAGTAAGATGCGAACACTGCCTGGGTATCAAAGACAGAAGATAAAATAAAAATAGGGCAACATGTCATCATTAATTTTCCAATATTTAATGGCAAAAATAACAACAAATAAACAAGAATTTAGACAGCTGGAATGAATAGAGGTCCTGAGCAAATATATCTTTATCTATGCAACATTATCTTCTTACACATTGATATTAAATACTCGTAAATGTTTACAGAATAAAATATAACAGAACAGCTATTACAGCGACGATCAACATATAAATTGCCCCTGAACTTTTGCGCTCAGTTTTAGCACAAGGTCTTGTCTGAAGTGGCTTATATACACGCTCCCATTGTGTCATGATGGCATTCCGTGCACCTTTCCAAGGCCCCGGTCCCATTAATCGATATTGGCAAGGGGTGCAGGGTCCAAAGAAAACTTCCATCGCAAGTTTTGGATCAGTCAGAATAAGTTTTCCTGGGAATGAAAAAGGACATAAGACAAGCAAAAAATAATGTGTAAAATAATAAATATGGATATCTGTTAAAATAGCATTGCTTTTTTAAAAGGTATAAGATATTACATGTAGCTTTACAATACTAAGTTTATTTTCATCATGAAATATACGGAAACCACCATGAATGAATTGGTAGTCAACTATCCTGCCAGAAGTGTTCGAGTAATTTAAGACATGAAGATATACAAAAGTAATGTGTACGGGAGCATGAGATGGAAAATCTTAGCCAGAACAAATATTTGACTTATTGTTATTGGTTTGGAAATAAAAATTTCGCTGAAAGTTTCAGTAAATATTTCGCACAGATCAGGGCGCATAATAGACCTAATCTAAATCCTATTTTTCTATGCATCTATTCCCAGTGAACAAGTAAAGAAGTTCGTATGCAAAACCTGCGTAACCCTTTTAATCTTTTTCTTTTATCTTTGAGTGTTTTTATTCGTTTTAAACTTTCATTTAATAACATATTCCTTTGTTTCATCTCGTCGGGAGATCCACCCAACAATATTTCCTAGAAAACTAACAAGAAGTCACAAATATCTTTGGATGAAAAAGTTGTGCAATTCAATCCAGACAAAAGTATCGTAAGTATCAACGAGGTAACGTACTTTGGTCATATACTGAGCTGAGACGGTAGGAAACCTGACCCCGACACAGTTTCAACAATTTTAGCCATTAAACCTTTCAATTTTCATTATCAATACATATCTGGCAGTTCTGAACTGATCCTATACAAAAACTGTCCGACTATATGATATGGAACATCGGAACATTAAGGAAAAACAATATGTACTTTGTTATCAATTATTTTCAGTCAATTTTTGACCAAGTAATTACTTAAAGGTTAATATTTTTATAGTGTTTGATATTTTTGTCTGTTATATTCATACATTACACTTACTGACGTTAGGCTTACAGCCAACCATTTCAGCCAGTTCATCCATGTAAGGGACATAATCCACTTGTATTGTGTGTCTCAAAGACTGTTTGTATCTCATACCCATAGCCGCTTGCTTGCTTTTAATGTCTTCCCACATCTCGGTACTTTCTGGCAACGTCTTTAATCCCTGGAAATATCTACTATCTTATTAGATATAATATGAAAATATATGTAAGACACATAATTAAAAACGTGTACTAAACATATGGTAAAACACAGTGACCTTTTAAATTGTAAAACTTAATTCTATTGATAAGAATTCCTTTAATTTCAAACATAACGAAAGAGAACTTGAATATTCATAAAAGGAAGCATAAGAATCAACTCAAAGCATCAAACAATGTTTGGAAATAAAATTATTAAAATAAATGGGGTCACCTTCGGGGCCTGAAATTGAAAAAAAAAATATTAAAATTTGCAATAATATTATTTTATAACTGCTTTAAAACAAGAAATTGCAAATAACACTGATATAACCGGTTTGTAGTAGCAATACCGGTATAAGACTGAGATGAAATATCTAGAAAATCGGTCAAAGTCTATCAAAATACCAATAATTACCTTAAACACTCTTGTAGCAAGGCGACATTGCATTTCGCTCATAGGCATAATTGCACCAAGTGGCTGGAAGCAACCGATGATTGCCATCGTATGTTTTTGCAAGTCGGGTGGAAACATGTACTTGTATAGATTGACTTTGTTGGCTTTCACCTCTATCACACTTTTATCAATGAATGGAAATCCAAAAATGTAGCCCGTTGCTAGAACTACAGCATCCAAATTATCAATTTTTGTACCGTCTTCAAAGATCGCCCCAGTTTCTGTGAACTCTGCAACATTGGCTTTTACAATAACACCTCCAGAAATGATTCTATTTGGCAACTCATCATTCAAGGTTGGGTGTGCAGAGAACAGACCATGTTTGGGTTTTAGGCAATACTTTTCATGATCAAATTTATTGTTGAGTTTCTTTTCTGCGAGCGATATCAACATATTTGGAAAAGACTTTAAAAGCTTTGTGTTCAAGCGAGTTGAATGCATCATGTCACCAGGAAGTCCTTTATCATCTACACGATGGAAAATCCATGAACCTGATCTTGTACTCAGATAAACCTAAAATATGATTTAATAAAATCCAATGTGAATGAGTTTCTTTTAAAGAAGAATTATATTGAACTACAGGTTAACAACAAGTGAAATCGCTAATGTATCTTTTTAAGTTTTTAGTGTTTTGGTTTGAAAACATCCGTATGACTAAGACTGGCATGGTCATTATTTAAAGGGGCTCTTGAAATCTAATCAATTCGAAATGTTTTATAATAATCAAAACTAAATAATGGCTCGAAAGTGTTTCATAAATACGACAATATATATTCATTACAGTCCGTAGGAATTGATACTGTTCAAACATGTGGTGCCCCTGTAAATAAAATCTCGTGTATATAAAATCAGACCCAAATGCAATGACAAAAATTAAGAAAGATAAAGATTATAATTTATTTCAAACCTGTGACGATATTCGGCTAAGTTCTGTTGCAACGTCGCCGCCAGAATTTCCAATGCCAATAATCAGGACGTTTTTGTCTTCGTACCCATGATAATCTTTATAGTCGTGTGTATGCGTGACCTTGCCCTTGAATTTGTTTAGTCCGGGAAAATTTGGTATGTTCTTTTCAGCATGATGACCAGTACATATGAGGACAGCGTCGAATACACGGGTCTCTTCTTTATCAGATGTCTTTATGGCGATTTCCCATTGCCCGTCACTGTTAAACGTTTTGGTTGGTTTCACAGACAGCACCTGGATATAATTGTTTGACTAAATGATAAAATTGAAACGATAACTACGCCTACTGAATAGAGCTTATGAAACTTGCTTAGCTAATGATCCTGTAACTCAAACTTTTTATGGTTTTATATCATGAATCTGATGCTCAAATGAAGATTTATCAATATTGTAAGTTCAAAAAAAAGCATTATTTGTAAATATATTGCTGAATTTACATTTCATGTAAATAAGAGAGGTAATTAGAAATCTATTTTCGATAAAGTTTAAGCCAATATTTTTTTTCAATAAAAATAAAAGCATAGATTTTAGTGATTACTTATAATGCAAATAAATATTTGCAGTACATATTTAACATATTCGTGGATGTTTGGAAATTGGTTCAGAAGAATAATTTTACACATATATAAAATTTCACTTTAGTGTTGATACATCCTTAATTACAACATACAGTTGCTCATTTATATTATATAATACTAATCCTAAAACCTCATGTTATGTACTTTAATATTATAGTAAGATCAACCGCATGGTAATGGCGCGTATCTCGTAAACACTGATACATGCAGTTGTCTTAAAGTCACATTTGACTCGAGAAATATGGCATAAAGAACAAAACGCAATGCACACACGTAGGTATTGTCCAACAACATTGACCTGGCACTCTTGCACTTGACCCCGTAGTCAATATATTCCGTGAATGTTACGATCTTCTTGTAAATCGATATGAATGTGATTAAAATGGTGTAAATTAAAAATCCATCTTAGCGAAGTTGGTAAAGGGGTTTCATTTTAAGAATGTCGACTTAAACTGGTATGATCGAATCCTATTTCAGCGATTTATTTTTTTCTTTTCATTTTAAAATTGTCATTCTCTTAAAGTATTGCAAGCCATTGAACCGGAAAAGTATTTTTGATAACTGTTGATAACGTGTACACACTAAAGCATAGATTACATAATGTTACAAAGAGAACCGTTGGAAGATACTGTAATGAAATAAAAATACAAATGTGTAAACAAAAACACCACTTAAAAAGTACTCAGACCAGGTGTAGTAAAAAGATTTCAAATTAATTCTTGCAAGTAAATTAAAAATCTCTACGCAGTGTTGATAAGGAATCGAACCAGAGTCCTTCATATCGGTAGTCAAACATCTATACTAATATACCACACCTTACTGACGAGTGAAGTTTACAAATATATCGTTATATTCGACTGCATGGTCAGTATTTATTCGAATGTTCTTTACGAAGCCAGGTCAACATTGTTGAACAATAACCGTCTACAAGTAATAGTTACCGTACGAGGAATAGGTCTGCATAGTATTTACAGACCCGGGTGGCGATTTGAAGACCGAGAGAGCGTAGCGATCGAGGTTTTTAAAAGGCCACCGGGTCTGTAAATACTATGCAGACCTATTCCAAGTGCGGTAACTATCTTACCTACATGCTCTTATGTTTTTCTATCTATACATCAGTTTTTAACTCAGTATTTATTAATAATACTCACAAGAAACATATAATTTATGTACTTTATCATGTTTAAGACAGCATTCCATAACCATGCAAAGATACCATCCGCTACGCTCTTGTAATTCATTCGTTCACAAATCAGGTGTTATTTGAATATTCTCGTACTTTTCGTGGGGTTTCATTATGTAATAAGGACAGGTAATGTACTTGTTGAGTCACAGAAAATGAAAACAGAACTCGTCGAGTAGGCAAGGTAAGATCATTATTTTGATATATGAATACATAGCATATTAATAATATGTACAAATATTGAGGAAGATAAAACAGTTTTCTCATCATGAAAACGAAACACTTTATCTTTATATAATAATTTCATGGTAAATAGATGATCAGGCTATTTCTAATTTAAAATATACGATTTTTTAAGACAGGGTTTTGTGAATAAATATTAGTAGTACATGTAGTTTTACCGTCATGTAAGTTTTTTTTAGTTTTTTTTTGTTGTTGTTGTTGTTGTTGTTTTTTATGATGGCTGATTTTAAATGTTCTTAGAATTTCATCCATGTTTGGAAGAACTTTCGGTGTTTTCTTAATAAGCATCATCCGTTATTCATATGTTTCATAAGACGCATGTGGGCACGCGGTCTATAATGGAAGCGCGCGGTCTAGAATGGAAGCGCAAGTCGTATTCTTGCGAGGAACAGGCGAGTACTGGTATTAAAAAAACAAATTATAATGTAAAAAACTGGGAAAAATGAGAAAAACGGTCTTTTACTTAAGATGAACTTTTCTCTCACTGAAAGTAATATTTTAGGAAAGAAAGATGCAGAAGTTGACTTTGCTTCTTGTTTGTTTGTTTGTTTGTTTCATTTTACGCCTTTTCCCAACAGTATTTCAGTCATATAGGCGGGTAGTTTCCTAACCATCGTTCCTGGAGAGTTACACCAGTACTAGACTACCTTCCTCCGCGCTAAACTATCAAAGCATCTCCCGGGGATCGAGCTCACGCCAGAGATGTAACTGGATTAGAAGTCTTCGACTCTAACCCCTCGACCACGGAGGCGGTTTTGAATTTGATTAGATATGCACCAATAATATAATCGTCGTATATATCCCATAATGCAGAATTGTTAAAATAATGCAGAATTGTGCGAAATCAGACATAATTGTGAAAAAAATGCCGAAAACTAGTATCTTATGTGCAAATGTGTTAGTTATACCAAAAAGCAAACTATAAAGAAAGGCTAAATATGCGTTATTGTACTCATTAATATTGGCGAAACACACACAAACTTCAACGCCAGAACAGTAGCCAGTTCGTTTTTCTCACAAGTAATTTGGAATATATGTTATGAAGGTCCATACAGCCGTATGCGCTTATTTATTTCTATTTATCTTGATGAAATGTACTTTAAAATATATATCGACCCTTTTTCCTATTCAAAGTGGTCATTACCCTCCCCCCCAAACACACCCATATAAATTTGCACCATTCAGCGTTATTTTTCAAAATTTCTGCGTTTACGGTGAATATTGTGTAATGCACGAGATTCTCGACTTCACATATTTTCTATTGTTTAAAGAACAATAGAGCAAAAACAGGTCGGTATATATTTGCAGACCTGATAAGCGGTCGGTAAGTGATTTACTAGACCGATTTTAACAAAAGAGCCGGTAGGTAATATAGAATTACAAATACATTGATATTTGTGTGCGTTTCGGTTTGTCACGGTAAACCTGTCAGAATTCGAGACATTTATTTGCATTATTATAACATTAGATATACAAGTTGCTAACGGTATATACGGGACAATATAGCCTGAATGAAATAAATATGACCAGACGCTCTAGCCGAAGATTATATTTCTGTCAGCAAGGCTTTATACTGCCATTTATCCTTACAAATCCGCAAGATTTTCTGCCGAAATTTTACAAAATATCGCGGGGAATGTATAAACGTTGATATTTTATAACAGTTGTTGGAGACTGCAAGGAATATTTTGACTTCAGTGGCCGGTAGTGTCCATTGTTTGACTTTACATTTTATCCGTCGTTTGTCTGGAACAGAAAGAAATCCGCGATATTTTTCGCAAGTGTTGTAGAAGTCGAGGGGAAAAAAATAATACAGGTCGCGACTTTTTGTTGAATATTCATTTCATTTATATAATTAACCGCGACTTTTGGGGGAAAAACCCGTGACTGTTTAGCTCAGAGACATTTCGCAGCATAAAAAGTCGAGACTTAATGCTCAAACTCGACTTTTTACAAGGCATGCATCCAAAACAAAATATCGCGGATTATAATGACCACAATCGGCTACCTAAAGTAGGTATATGTTTGCGTGTATTTTAGTGTTAAATGATTTCTGCTTAAGCCGATGCTAGGGGGCGTGGACGGTAACTTTTCCAGTACCGTCCATTAACAGGCTCAATCAAACCGAGCCTGCAAGATTTTCAATTTTGTTGTGTTGGACTTTCTTTAAAGATTCTGTTTTTCTCTATTTTAGTCTACTTTGTAGACAACCGCAACGCAAATGAAATCAAAAGTTATTAAAAATTTATTGCGGAGTTACCTTTAACTCTTTTCTTGGAGTAATGATATTTTCAATCGAGAAATATACAATACAGAACCAAACCTTTATGCACTCACGTAGGTAATCGTCTTTCGAATTAGATTTTAATGGTATAAACGATATTTTATACACACACACACACACACACCGTACAATCAAATGGGCAGACAGCAGTTCAAACGTCGACAGCTGTACCAGTATATACATGTCGGCGCACGAAAAACAATTGACGGACGGTAGGTATTCATTTATTTTTAACGTATCCCAACTGTATTCGAGTAAATCAATGTAATGGATTCATAGTCAACATCCAAAGGAGTATGCCAACAAATTTCTGGCCCCGTGCAAGCTTTACCTCATGTGAATTTTGACTGAAAATAACCACACTATCCGATGAGATGCGGCATTTTTATTTTTAAGTCACAAAAACTTATATTTTCTCATGATAATAAATCCTTTTATCATACGATTCGTAAACGTCAACATTTCGTCATTAAATCTTCAAACATGCTTTTCTGTTAAAGTTAAAGGGTATTTAAGTTGGAGTGTCATCAAAATTTTAGTAACGTCATCAGCCGTTCGCCTCTTTTTAATGATAGCATCGACAGCCATTCATATGTTAAATTAATTTACATCCTGTAAAATAAATCATTTATCATGATGAAAAATTTAGAAATTATTGAAGAGTAGATGGATTTTGTAAGCATGACGTCTATTAGAAAGTATCATGATAAATTAATATTTTAAATGAACAAAAAAGTTTTACTCTTTCCTAGTTACTGTAGCACAAAAGCGCTGAAAATTGTTTCCTTGAACGGCTTTCAGCTTTATTCATTCTTGCCGATTTTATCATTAAAAAGAGGCGAACGGCTGATGACGTTACTAAAGTTTTGATGACACCCCAACTTAAATACCCTACTGTATAACTTTACATAATTTTAACTGTTTGACGTCAACGTAATGAACGATTAACGTGCGATTGGACTAAATAATTAATGGAATAAAATGTAATGTTTACCTCTGTATTGAAGTTTATGTACTTTCTCAGTCCGAACTTGTCCACGTACATATGGAAATATCTATCGACATACTTATTATGCATGTAGATCGGAAACTCTCCTGGGATAGGAAAATCACTGTAACACATCATCTCCTTTGATGTATTGATCACCGTAGATTTCATCACACATGCCTGACCTTCCTCTACATCTTCTGTGTAATGCCATAATCCACTTATATAGTTACCCCTCTCAAAACATACAGGTTCAAGTCCCTCGTCCAGACAGCATTTGATAGCTGTTAAACCACTAGCACCTGCCCCGATCACTGCTATGCTTTTCATTCTTTACTTGTCTTTTCGTATTTTTCAAAATGATATCCCATAAGATACATGTACACTAAACCACTGCGGTACACATACTATAAACATGTCAACCTCTGTTGACGTATATTGCGATAACAAACACTGATAACTATGGACGCCTTGGAGAGCCACTTATAAATTGGAGGTTCAACTAACAGGTCTTTTTTACCTTTAAGTTATGACTTTGGGCATATGACTTTTGATTTATTTCAGCTAAAAGTTTAACTGTGAAAAGAACAAAATGTAATGTATTATAATTTTTTTAAACAGTCATTATAACAATTTGGATGTTTTTTTATTATATTTTAATTACAAATATATCTTTTGCGTTCCACAGCGTATGATTCAATAATTTAGCACCTCAGATTTCGACTGCGTTGACCTTAACACTGTTTAATTCGATCCTGTTTAACACTTATTGTTGTCATAAAGCCTTGTGTTTATGGAATTTACGAGGAAAAATTCCAGTTAGTTGAAAAATATTTATAACAAAAAATGTACAATAAAATAAAAATGCCTTATCCAGAATTCGAACCGAACCAGGATCTCTACACTTCCGAAGCAAACACTCTCTACGCTATTACGCTGGGTATACATGTATATGAGTAACGGCTCCGGTTTAAACGATAAATAAAGTTAAAACATTTTATATAAGAATTTTCGACATCCCTCTATGTCAATATTGATGTAAACAGGTTAAAAACATGGCCAACATATACGGCCTCTGAAGTGATAACAAAGAGTTCTACATTTTGTCCTCATGACCTTGATATTCATTTTGTATAAAGGCAGATAACGATTTTGGCCCAAGTTTTAACGAAGGTTCAGTTATGAAATAACTGTGTCACAATTACCTCAAGCTCTCTGCATTATATCTTTTGTAATAAAATCTGAGAAAGAAAGATCCGTTAAATATAAATGTGCAGTCTGTTGAGTGCTCAATGTTTATTTACCACCGTCTCTTTTCTTGTTTAAAAGATTTCTCTATTTCTATATCAACGTCAAACTACACATGTACGTCTATCTTTGACTATGTTTTACGCGAATACATGTCTTTGCAAAAAAAAGATTTTGCAACTGTAGTTACTTGCATTGCCGAAGTCATGAGTTTTATCCGACTTAGTATTAAAGATAGTTCGTCAGGTTTTCAACGAAGAACAGGGTTGTTCACTCATCTTACGAACATTCTATTGTTGTTTAATACGGTCTCACTCGGTTAGTATGTGAAACATAAAGCCACATTTTAAGTTCTCATATCGAAGTGCGCCCAGTTCTTAAAACTTTTTTTGTATCGCGCAAGTCTTTGAAAATAATAATGTACCAATGTTATCCGTTTTGTAATAATGTACCCAGCCACACAATCAATACACTAGTGATATGTGCTTTCTCCAGAAGCAACGCGTCTAGCCCGAGGAAAACGACTAGAAGCATTGTGTTCGGGGTATTGCTGCAAAAAGTAAAACAAAGTAATACAAGTTTTAATGCCACCACCAGAACGTATTATTCAAAGGATTTTAAGCATATTCAATGCGTCTAAAAAGTATCTAACAACTATCTTCACAGTATTTTAATGTAACAATTATTACAAATATTAGTAGGAGGTCTTGTATTTCAGTTTTACGACACTAACAGTTGTGAATTTTCGTATTTTGCAGATATGGAAGGTTCAAGCTCGGATATTGTTTGTGACAAATGTGGAAAAACATATGTAATATTTGAGATTTCTGTTTTAATTTCTGCGATTAATTCATCTATATCGAAACTTCATTTCATATATTCACGTGAGTATATCTTTTGCGTCCAAAAGGGACTAAACACTATCCAGGTATTTGTAATATTATTCAAATTCTATGAAAGTTTAAGATTGAATGCATCAATCATCAATATCTAGGCTATAACTTGCAAAGATATTGCTTGCACATAAAACATTGCGTTGGAGTTATCAACAATTAAAGTACCGTGTCCGTTACCCAAATCATTTTTCTCTCGTGTATTGGAATAGAAAATGACCTAACTTTTACATTTTCAAATAAAGAAATTCTATGAACCTTTTCTCTTTGCTAACACGACGTACTTTCAAGTGTCGCAGATTTCCTTACTCGTATGATGATTGTACGATCGGACGATTTTTCTACGATCGGCGAGAAGCAGTCACAGATCAAACAAAATCACCGTCATGCTTCTTGTAAATGCTACAAGGCCGAAAAAAGTCGGCCTTTCATGCATCGCGTGCATGTATGAAAGTGCTTGAAAAAATTATTGGATACTCTAAGAAGTTGGATGTTTGAACCCGCAAAATGAAAATGAAGATAGATAAAGTAAAATACTGATCTGATATGTAATTTTGGGACTGGTAAATGAAAATGATGACATTGAATCCAATATAGAATTGAGCCGTGCCATGACAAAACCAACAATAAGTGTTTGCGACCAGCATGAATCCAGACAAGTCTGCGTATCCGCGCAGTCTGATCAGGATCTATGCTGTTCACTATCAGTTTGACAGTTTCTCTACTTGTTAAAGAGTTTTTAAGCGAACAGCATGGATCCTGATCAGACTGCGCGGATTCGCAGGCTGGTCTCGATCCATGCTGGTCGCAAATGCATTATGTTTGTTTTGTCATGGCGCGGGCCATTTATATTAGGAGATCACATTGTGCAAACGCTTGGTTTCGATATATTAAGTGTGAAAATAAAAGAAATACTCTACGGTAAAATTACATGAAAAAGAATGCGATGTCATTTGATACATAGATGATATTGAATGAATGTAAGTTTAATACTGAATTTATTGAACGAGTTGAATAACATTATATTTTATTACCCTTCCAGATATTTTCCGCCTTTTTGATTGGATATTGATCACCCGAAAGAAATTGATATAACCGAGTCAGACGGGTAATATGCACACTAAATTTCCCCGTTGGGTACCCAACGTTGTAAACAACATGCGCTGAGGTGATGCGCGTACGGTTCGATTTTACGCGTAGTAAATTCCGATTTAATAGCACCTTTTAACTGCCAAATGATAAATATTTACCAAAGTAGAGTAATGATACATATTACCATCAGTATCGAAAACAAATATGACCTTGTGAAAGCTTGATATTAATTACAAAAAAGTATGTTCAATAGACTACTCCTTTTCCTTCTTTACATTCGTTAGGTACGGGAAAAATACGTCATGTATTTATGTGACGTCATGTTGTGAGGAAGAGGTACCCTAAAGGGAATCTTATTTCGATGTTTCATTTGAAACAGCAATGATTTTTTTAAAAAATCGTCTAAACTCGGCAGGGGAATGGTAATAAAATTATTATTTTGGTTTTGGAGTGATATATGTGGATATATTACCTGCCAAGATAAAATATCACCCTCGCCTAACGGCTCGGGTGATATAAAATCTTAACAGGTAATAGATCCACATATATCACTCCAAAACCAAAATAACATATAATGCATAATGTTATTTTATTAAACGAGTTCAATAAATTCAGTAATGAACTTATACGAATTTAATATTCTATTTATCTCATACCAAAAATATAGACCATTTGAAGCGAAAAAGAACGATTTTCCTATAACGCACCTATAGTGTAACGTTTATATCAATCTCATCTTTAAAGAAAAAAAAATATTATGATATAGATGTTTTTTTTTCTTTTTGTATTATGCAGGGAATCTGTATATATGTTTTACATTGTTCGATAAACGTTTGTATGCACTTGTGCTATGAACCCTTTATCATGTTTTTATTTATATTTTGTACATTCTTTGTAATTTTAATCACATGCATGTAATATGCCATGATTAAATAAATGAATTAAACTAGACTAAACTAAACTTAACGCTATGTTTATATAACGCAAATGATCTCACGTCAAAAAGGCGCAAAAACGGCACGGGGATGTGATAAAAAGTTATGCGTTGAACAAATTTAGATTAAGACTGATGATAACGACTGACGTCAAAATTTTAATAAATATACAGTGTAACTTCCGAATTCCGGAACTTCTGAAATCCGGAAACTTCTAAAACCGAACAATTTTTTCGGTCCCGATTTTTTCCCTTCTTTTTTCTATTTATATAAAGCTTCTAAATTCCGGAACTTCTAAATTCTGAATTCCGGACGATATTTTCGTAAAATTAGAGTCAAATCAATGCAATTTTACCTCCAAAAACCGGAATGTTTACCCTGCAGGAAGATTTACATTGTAAATCGAGAATGTTTACCCTGCAGGAAGATTTAATCTCCCTATCGATTGTTTACTAATTAGCGGTGATCGTGTAATTTGACACGCGTTAAAATCACAAACTGTGAAATGAAATGTTTGAAGTGACGCGGTAAATCAAAGTAATTTACGGCGGTCAGTTAATTTGAAGTGTTTATTAGTGGATTAAATGACAATTAATAGGACAGTGTATGCATCAAACGTCTTTTGGGATTTTATTGCATTCAAACTGACATTAATTCAAAAGCATTTGCATGTAAGATAAAAATGTATTATTTTCATTCACATCTTTATCTTGATTAAAAGACTATTATATATGATATTACAGTAATGGCCACATCTTCCTTGACATTAAGTGATATTAAGTGGCTAAGTCTTGTCCACATTATCATAAACCTCTGAATTCCGGAAACCTCTGAAATCCGAACTTTTTGACAAGTCCCATGGGTGTTCGGTTTTCGGAAGTTACACTGTATTCAAAATGTGTCAGTTAATAGTCTTTTTTTATTTTGTATTAAATGTATGGTATATACCCGCTATGATACATCTACAAATTAATTATTTTATTGTTATAAAGTCAGGAAACTATTTTAAAAGACACTGTACTAAACAACCTGTTTAGTCACACAATAAAGGCACGGTGGAGAAAGTGTTACACGAAGGATGGAGTTCTTATGATAATTTGTTTGGAGTTCTTATGATAATTTGTTTGGTTCTTATGATAACTGTCACGGAGTTGCTGGAAAATGTTACGGATTTCTGTGAATAACTTTGCTATATACTTGAAGAACTCATGTGAAAAATGGTCATTTTTACCTTTAAATGGGGAGTTTGAGGTGCTAAATTACACCTTGATA